ATCACAATACTTGTATAACTTAAAATACGCACAATATGATGGGGCAATTACGGCGTACCAACAATTGCAAACATTTTGCTTTCGAAAACAAATTCTCATAAAAAACACTGATTAAAATAAAACGTTATATGAAAAAACAATATAAAAATGTTACTAGTAAAATTAAATTAAGTAAATAGATTAACCAGAAATAATAAAATGAAATTCAAACCAAGAAATAGAATTTAATAGAAGTAATAAAATAGAAAAAATAAATCGGTCGGACTAACACGCGCAATCGACTGTGCTTTTCAATTACTATATGAATAGAGCTAGATGAGTTTATTTTCACGTTATAATCACTATAGGTAAGAAAACACTGTTTCAGTGAATGGACTGGGAAATGGTACAGAACTAATCACAGAATAAACGTCAGACCAATCCAAACTCCATCAGACAAATCTATAGTAAGTCTCACATCACGTGTCTCTTCTTCAGAATCACTGAACAAATTGACGTTAAAGTTGTATTTTAGCATGTATGTGTAAAGCCCATTGAAGTTTCAGATTGTTTGTAGTTTGGCTGCCATATTGAGTTTCTTTTAAACAGAAAATATTGTTTTACTATTTTTTTGAAATTTACTACATTGCAGCTCTCACTCAATTTTGTGCATTTAACCAATTTTGTATATAACATTATATACATATAAAATTGTGTAAAAAATAACTATTTAAATAAAACATATATTTTGTATATAATGACTAAAGCTTCTTAAATCAATGTTGGTCAGTCATATGGTTTGGCTGCCAATTTGGACTTCTTACAGGAATGATCACAATTTGTTTGGGAATTTGTTTCTTCTGAGTCATTTTACTGATCAAATAACTGCTTTGTTCTTGTTCACTGAGTTCGGGAGTTTGTTATGACTGTGTATTCTGCAGGCTTTCTGTGTGTTAGGGAGGCTGGCAGGAGTTAGTTTCAAGCTATTTCTTTTCTCTAGCCATGATGCTAACAAACTAGCCAGCGACAGTGTTTCCCAGTAGAACACATGCTTCTTGTTGACACTTATGGACCACTTGTGGCATGTAAACTAGTCATCATGGAGCACGAACTGGTCAGCTTTTCGTCACCACTGCCTAGAAGCCTGCCAGCAATTGGCAAATCTCTCCCACATATCATCAGAAAACCAGGCGTACGTATTGAGATAGATGAGCTATACCGTTCCTCTTGCATCATTTCTTTAGAACTTGTATCTATCACTATTGTAAATGTCTCTGATAATGAATGCATGATGACCCTATCTACAACAGCAACATTATTATCTGTTGCGCCTGTTATGCTGACTCTCTTATCTCACTACTGTATCTTCTGTGTTCTATGAGAGGGTTTATTCCTGACCTATCAAAGCACCTTAAAAGTGCAATACCGCACTTTTGGCAACACATGGAGGTCAACCTTTTCATTGGATTTAATTCTGGGTCTCCGATAAGGTAGAGGCCAAAGACATCATCTATGACTGGGTTTCTGTAGTATATCTGATTGATGCCGGTCAGTACTCCTTCCTTGGCGTTTCAAGTAATTACAACAATGTCTTTTTATCCTCTCAGCCAACTTTGCTGTGCCCCATTGGAATTATAGTTACAGAAAGAACTTTTGTTCTTAAAGATTATGAAAAACTTTGCTGCCCTCTCATCAGCCATTCTGCCTGCCATAATAGGATGCCATTGGTAATCTCAATGTTCTCAAGGTCCAATAGGTCCACTGTATCAAGCTTCTACATGATGAAAACTGGGCCAGCACTGGCTTAAAACTTGCTATTAGCATTGCTAAACATCAACTGAAAGCTTAATTGGAGGGAAGGTTTTGGATGTTATTATTTATACAGGATCGTACCAAAAAGGCCTTCCCTTATTTTTTAACCTAACTATTTGAAGAGGTGACTCCATTTCAGATAAAAGATTAATGATATATTCATCTATCGTTGCATTGTCATGTGCACTGACATACTGATTCAGTATACTCTATGGTTAAAATTTCTGTAACAGAAAGTCAGTTGCACTGTGAACAATCAATGGACGCCAGGCCTGAAAGAAACTTTGCCGACACTTATTGTCATTTTGATAATTGCAGCCGCGGCACAATGAGAAGTGGTTGAACATCTATTCCACACTTCAGATAGGGCTTTGTGTCTAACAGTGCAGTTCAAAATATCGTTAACCACTGATCATTCTTGTTGGTATATCCACGGGTATTGATAAGTGTAAATGGTCCTCCAACTATATACTGAGTGCATTGTCTAATCTATTTTAAACAATCAAGATAAGTGAACTTTGGACCGTTATTTACTCATAAAGAAAACTTACTGTAAAGGGGTAATTATTCACTGGGTTTTAATTTAGCTTATTTCGCTGACTGGAAAAATGCGCTGAATTAAAACACAGTGAATATGTAAATTTAGCATAGAACACATTATCTAAATGACGAAACCGTGAATTTAAAACCTACTGAATATGCCTGAAATGGTAAATCAGTGAAATTTAAACCCAGTGAAAATTAGTCATTTTACAGTAACTAAACAAAAAATAAAATAAAATAAACTGTCTCGCAAAATACAAAAAGTTAATTTGAGTATTTAAGTATAAATAAATAAATAAATAAATAAATAAATAAATAAATAAATA